GAAGATAAAATTCGTATCCCCAAGCGGCCATGTAATGTTCTGTTTATTATATAGATACTGATGAAATTTCCACATAAAAGACAACTTTTTTATTCATTTTTGAAACAGCAATTGGGTAATTATGTTGGTAACCATGGCCACACCAATATCCTCACACGTGAAAGATAAAAATAGTATCTTCACTGCGCGCCGTGAAGATATGATTTTTTAGTAAAAGGAGAAATCCTGGTATTTTATCAGTATCTATATAATAAATAATTTTCACACATTCATAGCCAATTTACGGTCTATAGTGCGCTGACCGTTCTAGCGTTACGAAGCCCCGAAGATTTTCAGCTCTTCCTGGTGTTTATCCTTACTTTTACTGCTAACGATCACGCAAAGAACATCTGCATACAGCGGTGAATTTTTTGAAGAACTCTCAAATTTTATTAACGATATGGGCTATGATCTACATCAACTATATTTTACTTCCAAGAGTTTGCTAAGTTCACCTGCTCAAACAAAGCTCCGGCTGTGCTAAGGAAACTGTCGGCATAACTTTGGATTCCACATTTGAAGTGTATTTAGGTAATAGACCGCACTTTCGTTTGGTTTACGATACGAGAAAAGTGTTCTCCCAAGATCCCAATCGGGTTACTACGCAGGTAAACCGATAGAGCGTGCGTTCTCAAGCTTCTATAAAATAAGCTCAAAACAAACCAACTTCCTATTGGTCTGCCGGTACAACAAACGATAGGATATTTGACCAATCAGTGCTCTCGTAGTATCGTCACTCTTACCTAGAGAACTTAATCCCCAACGAGGCTTTTTAGGATCTCCTACCTTGACATACCTATTAATGAAATTAATTATCATTTGTACTGTGATAGTCGAAATGAACTTGAGGATTTGAATTGAAGAAGACAGGCTATACACTTGTCTAAATACTTAGGACACATTTTCACGAAGAAACACTAAAAACTTTTTTTTAATTTTCCCAGAACGGAGTTAAGAACGAAACTGAGAGTTCTTGCCAAACACAGGCCTGCAAAGAGGTAGGTTATCTTATCATTTAAAACACTGCAGTTATTTTAAACCTTGTCCAATACAAAATTTTCACAATGTAACAATGCCATAGGATAAAACACAAAAAGGCAGGGCAAAATCGGATGAAAGCTTCTCGGCGACAGCTCACCCGTGTCGGTGCAGATGTGTTGCCACCTGACAAGGATTTATTTCCGACCAATTATTTCAAGTAACAGAGCCCAAAAATTTTTTTAAAAAGTCAGCTCGGGGAAAAACAGTCTCCTTCAATCTTGATTTCCTAGTTAATCATCTGCCACAGGCATAATGTTTCAATGCACCCCGGAGAATCTTTTAACGTCGTATTTTATATTGAAATTCATGATGGTTTTACTTTTAGTGTCTTGCCCCTTGTGATTCGAACTTGCACGGGAACTCGTGCAAAGCAAGTTGTGTAAGTAGCATTCTTATTTCTACTTCTAGTTATAAACCTTCATCATATTTCTAACATTTCCTCTTTGTTGAACACCAAAATAAAACTGATTCGCACCTTGATAAAAATAAAATGCACAGCCGTTCAACGGGAGCGAGAAAGGAATATGAGCCCTTCAAAGTAATTGGGCAATGATTCTTGAATTAGTTAGATAATAGGGCTCTAGGACCGAGAGAGCCTGGTGCGATTACTGTTACTGGCTAATGGTATCTCTTTTTACTGAAGCCGAAGCATTAATGTGTCCTTGCCAAGTTTCAGGGAAATTGAGAAGATTCCGAGGGAGGTGGAGGAGGAACCTGCATTAGATCAGCAACCTATCTAGAATGATTATTTATATTTTAGTGTTTTAGACAAGCGGTATCTCATTACCATTACATTGTGTTTTGCGCGCTTGGATTAAAGCGCTTTGTTTGAAGCCTTTGTTCATCAAATTCCGTCAACAGCTCCCAGTATTTTCTACATTTCCCTTGAGGCAGACTCGTTTTACATTTGTGATGATACCGACTTAAGGAATCACCATAAAACTCATGTAACTACCACTAACGCTTTCTTACTCCTTTTGCTACATTGTGCACCTTTAACTTTTTCCCATACGGTTTCCTCTCATATCGATATTTTTAATTTCAGAACAATGCCAGTAGCTGTTTAAATAGCTGTGAGTTCTTGACATGGCTGAAGTTGCCGTTCTTATCTAATGGCGATGGGTCCGTACTACAAGTTCCAGGGCCAGTGAATGAGACAATATTGAATTTCACATCACTCACCTTGCAGTGGCCACGTATCCTCAACACAAGTGGCACTGCTGTTTACTTACTTGAAGTAGCTTTTGATGGTGAACGAGCCAGATCTTCTCCCCACTATCCAAACCAGGTAATATCATTTCGATTTACGACAGTCATGATCATTGAAATGTGCTCAGCATTATAGACACTGTGTTTTATACCTTTTACAAATTAAGTTCAAGGTCTTGTAACTTACAGACCGAGTTTTTCCGCTTAAATTTATGGTTCAAACATCTTTATTGCCATCAATTTTTCTGTTTTCTTTCACTCCTTTCGTCAAAACTCCATTTTGAGACTTCGTTTATTTTCATTTTCTAGGTCAACGTCGAGTCAAAGGTTATACTCAAATTTGACCCTTGTATATTTACACCAAGTATAACCCAGCGCGCGGAGTTCAAAAACACTAATTTCCGGTTCAGGCTTCTTGTTCTGACAGAAAACTCCTCTGTAAGCTACGGACCTCAATCAAGAAGCATAAGTAAGTTAAAACAAATGTGTTGGTTGAAAGCTAAAGAACATCGCTCACCTTTCTGCTGCATCGTTAAAACCAATCAATGTTTAACGCAAAATACAACTTGAGATACTGCCATTTTATTTTTTCAATGTTTGAATTTAAAAAGAATATATCGCAATTTCATCAGATAAGTGAACTTGTCCCATCCTTTGCTAATTGGTTTCCTTAATTAATGGTTTTTTTTCTAATGGGTAAAAACTGTGCCGTTTTTTTTCTCATATAGACCTCCCTCACCTAGATAAGATATATTTACTTTTCTTTAGATTACCTGATACTCAATTAAAAAACTTTCCATTGTGGAAAAGCATTCACTTAGCTATATGAAGTATCTATTTTTATTCGCATCAGCCTTCCCAAAGCCAGATCCAGTAACAAACTTGACTCTGGATAGCCTGTGGTACGATGCTGACCACGATGGAAATAAAGTGCAGATGGCATCTTCTTGGATAGCGCCTAAAGGTTGTAGAATGCATGAATTAACTCGCGATTTATATAATCAGCCATGTTTTAAATGTAGGAGAAATACTAAGCTGATTAAAACGACTCTTTTTTTACTGAAAAGATCACTTAAACATTCGAGTTGCAATTAGAGTTCTCTGGGCTGAAGCACGGCTACAGAGCACATTTTGAAAATCTGTTGCTTTTTAACAATGGGTGATGTAATTGGTTCTTTGAGTTTTAAAGACCCCCTTTTTTCCATCCTCGATCAAATTTTAAAATATGAATTCATTCTGGAAGCTCTTTCTGATTAACGTGTTCTGTTTCCAATGCAATCTTCTCTAATATCGGTCTCCCCGTTGTCAGAAATCAATTCCCTTTATGTGCACAACCCTTCCTACCTTGAGAATCCAAAACAGTGGCTGTAAATTTACGAAAAATACAAAGTTATAGCATTTTTTTGAAGTAATAAAGGCCAAAAACATGGGGTTGCTAATAGAAACGGTTTTTGGATTTTCTATTCAGGACAGGAAAATATCGTTTCAAACTATGCCTTGCGTTGGAATCAGGATTCTCAGTGCACCGTCCACGTAGGCTTTAGGAATGGAGAAACTGACGGGGTAAGGTTATGAAACAGTCTAACGGCATGTTAGAATTACCGTGGAGTATTTACAAAAAGATGTATTTCTTGAAAGGATACTCACAATATAACAAGCGAACTACTAATAATCGATAGAAGCTAAAGTTATTTAGGTGAAATCAAGGGAAAATGAACTCATAACAAATTCATGGTCTCTAGTAAGAAAAGTATTTATCAGCTGGGGGTTGCTAGGTGGTCTCATGATCAGAGCACTGCACACGCACGGGTCAAGGGTCTTGGTTCGAGACCTGGCCAGATCATTGTGCCGTGTACCTGAGCAAAACCATCTACTCTCACCATGCCTGTCTCTCCATCCAGGAGTATAAATGGTTACTGGTAAATTTGTCAGGGAAACTTGATGAAATGTTGGGGGTAACCTTACAATGAAGGGCATCCCGTTGGGGCGGGGGAGGGGTAGGGGATAGTAATACTCCTAGTCGCTTTATACTCTGGAAACAGAATTTATTTCCTTCTATTGTGGAAGCTTCCAAACTGAGATGTTGTGAAAGTAGAACAAATAATTTTGGAATCGAAGTGACTTTAAAAATACTAACAGACTGTTGAATTATTCATGTTCGCATTGAAAAATGTTTGGAAAAGGAGTTCGAATATTTGAAGTGATGAATAGGGTTACCAAATTAAACAACTGGATGTCTCCATAGTCGAACAGCAGATCTGACCTAAGAGATTAAGCGCTGGAATGGAAGAATTGCCGGTTTGAATTGAAGAGTAGAGTGTTTGAATTGCAGAACGATTGTTTCAAAATGAAGGATTGCGTGTTTCTGTCGATAAAAAGCCTGTTTGAACTGGCCAATAGTGTATTTGAACTGGCGAGAAGCAGGTTTGCGGTAAAGAATTGCATATTGGAATAGAAGGATAGCATTTTTTTTTTTGAGAGAGCATGGCGCCCGGACGGTCGCCACTTAACTGCAGGGCATCTGTGCTATTTTATTTAATTTGCATCTTAACTTTGGATGCAACAAACAATTACGAAAGCGGAAGTCATTATCCAGCCATCCGAGATGATGAAGACGAATTTGCCATCGAATATTATCAGCATCGAAGATTATTAAATCCATGCACGTGGCACGTTTCCGACCGCGGCCATCTTGGTTTCTTCTTTCAGCACAAGTTCATCGGAAAGAGAGTACCGTATTGCGCCTTCCACACAGCTCAGTTTAATATATCGCTACTCGTCGCACATGGAGACGTCCATCCTCATCCCGGACCACGAAACGATGCACCTAACAAACTGAACGCAAGCTCTTGTCAAACGACTGTCAAGAGTTCAAACGCTAGGACTTCGGATAACACCTGCCGCTTACCTACAAAACGCAAACCATGGCTGGCCCACTTCAATTGCAGAAGTATTATGGCTCACATCGA